TCCTGCGCCATTCACAATAAAGTTTCCAAAGCTCTGTTTGGGATTTGGGATTACGTCCCGTATGCCACGTCAGAGAAGAAAACCTCACTTGGAAGCTGACATCAACACCAGATGCTACGACGTTAGGCCGCAAAAGCCCAATTTTTTGCGAAAGAAATCCCCGCGCCGGGCCAAAGAATGCGCAACCGGCTGCCACCTTGAACTGAACGCTTCCGTCTCAAGTTGAGCGTCTAAGCCTAAGCCGCAAAACCGCGAACCCTGAGCCCTAAACCCTAAACCCTAAACCCAAAACCCTAAACCCGAAACCCTAAACCCTAAACCACACACGGTGCGTGAAGGGGCGGCCTGGGCCTCTCGGAGAATCCATTTGCAGTAGCATGGATCTTCAGCTGCGAGCTCTGACATCTTTCGCCCACGGTATCTACCGCCTGCCAAGCGGGTTTAGGGTTTAGGGTTTAGGGTTTAGGGTTTGGGGATGTTTGGGGTTTAGGGTTTAGGGTTGTTTGACCGCGGGGGCACCTTCCTAGCTGGCCTACAATTTCTGTCTCTCTCTCTCGCTCTCTATCTCTTTCTTTGTGTCGCTGCTTCCCGATGGTCCCACAGTAGATACTAGATGCTCATACGTGGTCCGTAGTTTAATACCAGTCGCCGTCCTTAACATTTACTAATCGTAGGAGGGCTCCACCTTCGCTACGGTACAGTTGCGAACATGCTGACGCAAATCCCGGGCCTACAACGAGCAAGTCTTGCTCCTGGCAGCATGTTGCAGCCAAGCTAGTCCAACTTCAGTTCTTGGGCACTTAAGGTGTGAACCTGGAAAGTGGATTGCGTCGGGCCTTAGAAGCATCCATTTGTCAACAAAATGTGCCAAGTCAAATCACCTCCCTGGCGCGCTTTGCGGAACCCTTCCTCCAGATGCGGCGCGTTCTCCATAAGCCAGCTGGCATTTGCTCGCAACTCGGGCGAAGAGTCCTTCTCCTGTGCATTGCCGTGCCGACGCCACAAACATCGAAGATTCTAAGCGGTTTTATGGGCACAAGGGGCTTTCTGAGTTGGCCTGTCAAGGACCTCTCTTCGAAAGCCAGCTACATCTAAGTACGAATGCAGGCCGCCATACTGGGACTGCTTTACATTCAACATGAAAACGCGCGTGCGCCATGCTTTTCCTCCCAACGATATCTGTCATCTATTCATCCATGTGTGGCCCTCTTCAAAAGCTACACCTACCCTTTCAATCCAAGACGTCGAGGGTGATGAACATGCCCAGTACAAACAGCTTGCCTCAAGCATAATGTTCTCATTCTGGAGGCTTCTCTTGCTTAAGACTTGTTTGCCATGATTTTCCACCAGAATCCGGTTGAGAACTCGGGACAGTGATGCAGGACTGCAAAGATTCCGCGAAGTTCGGTTTTCGCATCTCAGGGCTTCCAGGCTGCAAAAGGCTTAGAAGAGGATGTCTTGGGATGTGGCGTCTTAATATGAAAAGTAATAAAAAAAAGAAATAGAGAGGGTTTCTTAGGGTGTGGTTCTTTTGAGGATGTGGACCTGCAATTCAAAAGTCTAATTGGACTTAAAAAAGAGTGGGGCTTCGAAGAGGATGTCATGGGGTGTGGCCTCGTAATTTAAACGTCTATTTAAGTGGAATCACAAAGGAAGTCCAGTTGAGGATTTCTTAGGGTGTGGTGTTTTAGTGCAAACCTCAAATTACATTTCATTACGAAGCGGGGCCAGAGGAGACTTTCACAGGGTGTGGTCGGTAAAATAAAATTCCAAAGAGGTAGTAACGAATGAGGCTTAGAAGGGCGTGGCCTCTTAATTGTTTTACTTGGTTTGGTTTTACGAACGAAGCTGTGGCTTTACCATACACAGGTCTTAGGGTGTGGCCTTTTAAATTCTGTCCAAAGGGGTGTGGCCTCTAAACTTAAAATTCAATTTAAGTGGAATTCCAAACGAGTCCAGATGAGGATTTCTTAGGGTGTGGCGTTTTAATACAAACCTCAAATAACATTGTAGTATGAAGCGAGGCCAGGGGAGAATTTCATAGGGTGTGGTCTGCAAAATAGAATTCCAAATAGGTATTAACCAATGAAGCTTAGAAGAGGATGTCTTGTGGCGGGGCCTCTTAATTTGTTTGTTTGACTTGGGTTTAATTTACTAACGAAGCTAAATTGTAAGTACATTCAAATACGAATGGGGGCTCATGATATAAATTTCTGTCCAAGAGTTACATACGAACCTAGCCTAGGTCAGAACTTCTTACCTAGCATTATAAACTTCTTACGAGATTCTGTTACGAACAGGCCCCAGAATGGTGTGGCTTTTTTTAATACAAGCATCTTGGCAAATCGAAAATAAGTCTAATTACAAACGAAGGTCTAATGAGGATTTCTTGGCGTGTGGCTTTGTAATACAGAATTCTAATGAATCTTCATTACAAATAGGGGCCAGAAAGGGATTTCATAGGGTATGGTCTGCAATATAGAATTCTAACTCGGTTTCATTGCGAGGAGGATGTCCTGGGGTTGGCCTCTGAATATACACTTGCTTTACTTGGGTTCAATTACGAACGAAGCCCAGAAGAGGATTTCTTAGGGTGTGGGCTTACAATATGAAATCAAATTGCGTTTCATTACGAATGGGGCCAGCGAAAGATTTCACAGGGTGTGGGAAAAACAAAAATGTTCTAAATAGGTATTAATCAATGAGGCTTAGAAGAGGATGTCTTGGGGCTGGGCCTCTTAATATGTTTTTTTACTTGGGTTAATTACGAACGAAGCTGTGGCTTTATCAGACACACAATTCTACTGAAATTTCATTAAGAGGGCCCAGAAGAGGATTTCATAGGGTGTGGCCTTTAAGTATAGAATTCTTTTCGTAGGGTGTGGGCTTCTTATGTAGAAGCATTTTCTCAATAAAATAGGCAGGAAGCCCAGATGAGGATTTCTGAGGCTGTAACCTCTGCATATAAAGCTCTTGTGAGATTTTGTTACAGACAGGCAGGCCCCAGAAGAGGATTTCATAGGGTGCGGCTTTTAATTGGCAAATTTAGATTTCTAAAAAAATTTACTACGAATGAGGCCAGTGGCCTTTTAATTTTCATTCCGACTTAGGTTTAAATCTCGCTTCGATGGGCCCGAAAGGCCTTTCGACCTAGATCATGGGGGGGGGGGGTGAGCATATATATATATATATAGATATATAGATATGCGCTTATATGCATTTGTATTTGCATGTGTATTATTTGTATTCATATTCATATCTGTATTTATTGCTGTATCTGAATGTGTATCGTTATGTGCATACATATACATATCTATATATACACACGCGTATAATGCACACACCATCGGAAGACGCAAGGCCCAACCTTGGCTAGACAGGCAGCCCTACCTTGGTTTGGCTTTGCCCGCCTTGGCCTCTCGCAGAATCCATTGACAATACGCGGGATCCTCGGCCACCAAAGTGGGCAGGTCTCTGCCCTCTCCTGCGGGAGCACTTGAGTTTGACAGGCTCAATATTGCATGCGATTGGGCTGTAGAAGGCACCATAGTACAGCTGTGAACAATCGAAACACACTGCAGACGTGCGTAAAAAGGCAAACCGGCCTGGAGCAAGAGGCCCCTGCTCCTGCAAGGCAATAGGAACCGTTTTCATTTCAAAAGCGGGTCTGCTCCTCAAAGCCAACAATATCCCAAAGACATCCAAAGATTGAGGCCCAGCAGCAAAAACCGAGGCAAACTTATGACTATCACTAGTAGCACAATGGCCATAGGTGTGCTAATACAGGCATGAGACTCGATGGATTCGGGATCCCAGCGTAGACATTCGGCACTGCAGCTGAAGGTTGATATTGAATCCTAAACCCTTTTGCAGCAGGCTTGCATGAGTCCTCGCCTGGATCAGGCTATCACTCTCCGAGCTGAATCCTAAACCCTAAGCCCTAAACCCTAAACCCTCAACCCTAAACAAACAGCCCTTGGCTTCGAACTCCTGCAGATGCGGCACGTTCTGCAAGAGCCACTCGGCCATTTCTTTCAATCCGTGGCTCGCTTGCGGTGCCTGCGATCATCGTGCAAGTTCCCAAGGCTCAATCAGGGTGCGTCGAAAGTGCTGCTTCACGGACAGTTGCAGAGTTGAACTGCCACAGGAAGCCGGAAGCTCGAATTTGTCAAAGCTTGATTTCTCTGAAACGCTGAACGAGCAGGCTGAAACGGACCATTTTGCCTGTTTAAGGGGTGTTTCAGGGCCAAGACATTGCTGGCCGGCTTCAAAGGTTTTGGTATTCCTTCAATTCCACCATGCCGGCTACGAACTGTGTTTTCCACGTGCCGTTTTGGACATTCTTTTGCCTGGAGCCCCTCTTGAATACTAAAAAATTGCAGGAGGGTCCTTTTCAAGCCAAGATTTCCAGCCTGCAACTTGTGGGGTTGTCTTTATAGTCTCTCAGCCACAGCCGAGGGCTGCGGATTTCAGTGCCCTGGCCTCTTGGACTAAAGTTAGGACTTCAAGTTCAAAGCCTAGGGCTCGCGGACTTTCAAAGAGTTTAGGGTTTAGGGTTTAGGGTGCATCTTTAGGATAAATGGGAGGCAGGCAATAAACTTTCCTCGGAGCCACACAGCAGAGGTTCCAACATTGTGGCCTCCGCCATGCGTAAGAAATCTCAAAAAGCGCCCATCCCAGAAAAGAAAAACCCAAAATTCTGCCTGTCTTCAGGCTGAACGCATTCATCCGAAAACACGTAAACCCTGAACCCAAACTTATGCTCAACCCGGAACCAACGAGGACAAGTACTCGCCCGACGTCAAGGGAAGGTGATACCATTGTGGGGCTGCGCGGCCATCATGTTGATTTTCATTTCAAGAGAGTCTTGGTTGAATAGAGGCGCCCTGCGCCAGACTTCAGGCTGTTGCAGGCCCCAAGCCTGGAGCCTTTTGGAGTCTGAGATCCCATGGTACAGGCGCCTACTCATTACCCACTGAGGGGGGGGGGGGGGGCTCGCATTAGCTAAGAGGCGGTTTGGACTTCTCGCAGGACCCATCGGCAGTAAAGTGGGTCTTCAGCTGCGAGCTGAGACATCGGCCGTCCCCGGTACTTGCCGCCTGCCAGATTTCAGGCTTCCATATAGGCTTGCATCGCACAGCACGGACTAGCCAGAAGAGAACTGTGTCGCATCAGGGTTCAGGCTGTGGAACCATCGAAACTCGAAGCTAGCTATGCGCGAGTAGTGAAACACCCGAGCCTGTGGCCAGCAAGCCTTGCTCCTCACAGCTGCTTCAATACACGCTAGCGTGGCATCAGTATTCAGTGCAGGAGGCTGACATGGGGTATCGGATGGTACCAGTATAGGGCAGCACCGCAGGCACAAAAGCGGGATTCGAGTCTAAGTCTAGCGATGAGATATACTTTTATACCTCGGCACATGTTGAGCAGCCCTTCCTCGAGGTGGGGTGCGTTCTGTCGAAGCCAGCTGGCATTTGCTCGCAGTTCTGGCGAGGCATGCTTCTCCTGAGAACTCACAAACTCACGTCGAAGACCATGGGGCTATAGGGGCATGGGGGCTTTCTGAGTTGGCTAGTCGCGCCTACGACTGGAAGTCTCTGATCCTACCACTCTGGAGACCCTATGAAACTCCAGTTTGGCTTGTCCCTGCCTTGGCCTGTCGGAGGATCCATTGGCAGTATGCGGGATCCTTTGCCACCAAAACGGACAGGTCTGTGCCGTTGTGGTTCTGCGCTGAGGCCTGGGGGAAAAACTGAAACAAGGGAATGCATGGCTTTGCGTGGCTTCCAATTCAAAGGCCATGGGGGGAGGGGGGGGGGGTTTGAACAAACGCAAGCCCATGTCTTTCACTCAGGAGAGGTCTCAGTAGGATGGCCAGCTCACGTGGCTCGCAGCAGTCGCAATCAGGACATCACCCCTCACAACACAAGCAAAACATAAGCATGGGCCGATGGTGTAGGCCTAACCAGCCGCAAATTTCCAGGCGAAGAGAATATGGACCGAAACAACCTTCGCTAGAATGATAAGTGCATCTTTGAAGTCTCTGAGTTTTTATGCAAGGGTTGGGGGGGAGGGTGTTTTGGCTCTCTTGCACATTCAGAACTTGGCGAACCTAGTTCAAATCCCAAAAGAGATTGAAAGCTCCCAGCCTCCAGTTTGGCCTCGATATGAGCTGCGTTGGAGCGGAGCCAGGCGGCATTGTCTCGTAGGGCGGACGAAGCATCTGCCTCCTCTTGCAGGCTAAGCCGGATTTGCTGGGAAAGTGCCAATGAAAAGCTGGACACGGCCGGGTGCCCATCTCTCTCGCGTCCTGAGCCTTTCGGAGTATCCATAGGCAATACGATGGGTCTTCCGCAACCACTCTGGACAAAGGCTGCCCGAAGTGTTTCTTGCCTGGCCGATTGCACACTCTGCCGCATGCCGCAGACAAGATTGCGCGGTCTCCTGATAACCCGCCTCTTGAGACTCAAGTAGACCAGGGATGCAGGATGCTGTTCAAGTTTTCAATTTCTAGCTGCCTGTCTGCACTTGTCGTCTGACCAAGTCACCAAACAAGCAGACCGCTGCAGTGTCCGCTCTCGCGCCCGAGGCTCGGGTGCACGATGCTGGCATTGAGGCCGCACTTCGATTGAGAACCCTTGGTTGACTTACACGTCAACGAAGACAGGCATCTTCTTGTCAAAATTGGTGGCGCTCAATGAAGATTCGACTTGCAAGTCTTACAATTGTGATGTCGAAGCAGACTCGCCAGTTCCCCGCAGTCTCATGATGTTGCTGTACCAGACATGATGCTTTGAAGACGACATGTCTGGAGACATATTCACAGCCAAGCTGCATCTGCATGGTCGGGACGAGCATGGACGTCCTCCCCGATTGTCCGCATAAAGCTCTACGGCACTTAGCTTCGCCTGCTACATGTTCAGTTCCATCAGATAACACACAGGTTACAGCACGTTGCGACCCGCCATGGAGAGCCAGGGCCAACAAGAGTCCCTTGCACCAACATCGCCGCGCCTCATTTTCGCAAGCATGATTTCTACCGTCCGGGTGATCCAAGCGATGGCACCAGGAGGCGAGCTACCCAAGCCAAACTGAGCCAAACAGGGCAGAATCGAGGGCAGTTTGGGGGGGGGGGGGTTATTCTCGTCTGCTAAACCCTGAACCCTCCATGACCTCTAGACCCAAAGCCATGTTCGGCTTGGGATTACCAAGCCCCGATGTGCTCTTCACAAAAGATGCCCCACATCAAGGGAGATGCCTGAAGTGAGGGTGACACCGGCATCCAAACATCCCCCCCACTCCCAAGTCTCAACTTCTTGAAAACAGGCCATCTACCCAACCCGACCACAAATAACCCTAAACTTCAACCCTACAGGGATTTGGGCGAGGGGGGTCGTGTCCACAAAACAACGCCCGTGTGTCTGCCCTGCCACGGTCGACAGTGTAGTTATAAGATCCGGGCCCGGAGATTTGCAGCTGCTTCTCAAAGTCTGTAGCCCTGGCATCTAAGGGCTTGTTTGCCGATAAGCCCCAAGACTCTGAACCCGAAACCCTGTACAAACCGATCGCAGTTTCTCCAGATGAGGTAGAGGGTTCAGCTTTTTTCGCTTGAGGCTCACTCAGCTGGAAGTTTCGCTCTGTACTTTGGTGGAGTCTAGCATGGCCCAGTGCTTTCCCCGGCATTCATTACCCATGTGATGTGGCCTTTGAACATGTTTTGTTGGCGGCTAGTTCCACTACCTAAAGCCATAAGCCCAGACCAACCACAATAAACTTGAAAAGCTACACATCTCACATTCGCACTTGACACTAGCTAGCTGCAACAAGCACTGCCTTCAAAGCGGTGCATGTGCAGACGGCGCGTTGCACGTGTGTTCTTCTCGCTTGCCTAGCTCTCGGGTTTGCATGGCTTAGGATCTGCATTCTGAAGAATGAGCGCCTCAGGAGCAAATCCCATCCTGGTGCGCGACAACGTTAGAAAAAATGCCGGAAATCTTAAGCCATAAGCTTCCCAAAGACAAAGCCACAGAACCTCCATTCACCTAAACCCCTAAACCCTAAAACCCTGAACCCCTAAACCCCTAAACCCCTAAACCCCTAAACCCCTAAACCCCTAAGCCCCTAAGCCCCTAAGCCCCTAACCCCTAAACCCCTAGCCCCTAAGCCCCTAAACCCAGCAAGCAGGTTCTGGCCAGAAGCGGCCAGCCACCCCTAAAGCAAAAGCACATGAACAGCAGCGGATCTTCAAGAATGAGGGCACGATTGAAACCCCGCTTGTTCAGGAGATGCAGTTTGCAGATTCATTGCTGTGTCCGCGTTTCTTTTGGGTGTTAGCGCAGTGGATGCAAGGCAAGTGGCTTTCAAGCGAAGCCGGGATTAGTTTGGCAGAAATTTATGTCACATTCATTGAACAAACTGGATGGGTTGTGCCTGTGAATGTTGGTTCTTGGAGGCAGGAGCAACTTCCTGAATGCTGGAGATCAAAAGTTCCTTCAGCGTGGCTGCATGAAACAAGCTATGCCAATCTCCTTCTGTGCAGAACGACTTTTGCTAAGCAGCTGACGATATTCCTTCATTCTTTCAAGTTGTTACTGCGACTTCTCCATGCGCATGTTGCCGAGGCCCAGCTTTGACTTCACTAGGACATGGGGCCCCAGTCTCCATGGTGACCATGGCGCCCTATGCTGCGTGCCACGAAGGATTCCGAATCTTGCAACAACACATGCGAGGCCTTTCATTCTCGGCCTTCGGTAAAGTCCGCTTTGACCCAGTGACGAACCCTTGTGAATCACCGGTGGCGCAAGAGCCGCCGCAAGTTATTCGGAATAGGTATTATCAGGCCAACAAATGCCGACAGCGGCAGGCCTAGATGTGATCTTTTCGAGTGCTCTCTGTTAATTGCAGATATATGCTTCGCCCGAACTTTCGTCCGAAGTGTCTGATGACTGCATGCATAAACCCCTAAACCCCTAAACCCTAAAACCAAAACCCTAAGTCCTAAACCCTAAACCCTGCCCAGCAGGCCTTGGCAGAGCTTGCGCGACTCGCACCTGGGAACTCCACCTCGCGCCAGGAGGGAGCGTTAGGGTTTGCTTGGGTAGTTTACAATTTCGATGAGGGTTAGGGTTTAGGGCTGAGGGTTTGGGGTTTAGGGTTTAGATTGCGAGGGCTACAAGGGAGGATATGCAGTTGGTGTGATCTTGGGGGCTGCTTGAGGGTGCCTACTTCGTTCGGGTGTTTGGAGGCCTCCCAAGGCCTTAGGGCTCGTGCCTAACTATACATATTTTCAGTTTGAGGATGTGTATATATATATATAAATGTATCTATCTATTTTTTGGTTGGGCGTGCTGACCCTCAATCCTGACACTAAGTCTTAGAAACCCAGGCAGGAATCCCACAAGTAGCCGTGTCGCGGAGGCCTAAGCCCCTTCAGGGCTTTCGCCTCGTGCTTGGTGGTTTACGGGTGGCTTGAGCATTTAGAGTGGGTGTACCGGCAAAGGGATGAGGGGTCAAGAGTTCGGGTGTTAGAGCGCTAAGGAGCTAACTACATTGACCAACTGCTTCGGAAGGGACTACTGCACATGCGGTTTACGAAAACAAGGGACCCCTAATATAGACCCCCAAATAGTAGGCTTCCTTTTGACAAGGGCCCAATAAGGTACCCCTAATTGCGAAACCCCCAATATGGTTACCCCTAAACCCTTAAATCTAAACCATAAACCCTCAACCCTAAACCCTAAATCCTAAATCCTAAACCCTAAACCAAACCCTGAACCCTAAACCCTAAGCCCTCATTCCCCCCACACGGGAATCCAGGACCCTGCCGGCCTTGGAGCAGCTAGCCGTCGGTGTCGGTGTCTCGTGGCCGTTTCTTGCCTCTGCACTTCAAGGATGAAGAGCGCAGGCTTCTTAGGGTTTAGGGTTTAGGGTTTAGGGTTAGGGTTTAGGGTTTAGGGTTTAGGGTTTAGGGTTTATAGGGTTTAGGGCTTAGGGTTTAGGGTTTAAGGCTTAGGGGCTCCTAGACCGTAGACATCCCTAAACACAAAGTACAGCCAGGAACTTTGCTGGGACACTGCCAGCATTCATGTGCAATATTGTGAAAGCCTTGGTAGCCCAGCAACCATATTTTAATAAGGGCACTTGGGTTCGGCCGGTCCACACTAACAGTCACCACCAGCAGACCCACAAATAAAAGCACCCGGTAAATGCCAAAAAATTGACTGAGATTCCTGCTATTCCTGGTGCTATTCCTGGTGCTATTTCTGGTGCTATTTCTGGTGCATTTTTTTGTGCTATTCCTGGTGCTATTTCTGGTGCTATTTTTTGTGCTATTGTTTGTGCTATTTCTGGTGCTATTTTTTGTGCTATTGTTTGTGCTATTTCTGGTGCTATTTCTGGTGCTGTTGCTGGTGCTATGTGACTAACAATCACCATCAGCAGACCCACAAAAAACAGCACCCGGTAAATGCTAAGCTGATAAAATTGACTGGGATTCCTGGTGCTATTTCTGGTGCTATTGTTTGTGCTATTTCTGGTGCTATTTTTTGTGCTATTCCTGGCGCTATTTCTGGTGCTATTTTTTGTGCTATTGTTTGTGCTATTTCTGGTGCTATTTCTGCTGCTATGTGACTAACAGTCACCACCAGCAGACCCACAAAAATAAGCACCCGGTAAATGCTAAAATTGACTGGGATTCCTGGTGCTATTTTTGGCCTGTGTGTTATAAGGCCACGGCGTTATTTGACTGTTAGTGTGGACCGGCCGAACCCAAAAGGGCACCCTTTTTGGGGTTGGTTATTTTATAAGGGAAACCAGAACCAAAAAAGAGGGTAAAGGGTACCACTGGGCCACCAAGAAGCCCTGAACTGTTGCAACATCCTGCAGCGCAACGCCACGTGCAGGTCGCTGCGCTAGTGGTCTAGCGTGGTCAAAGATTGCACAGATGTCTGCCAGCAGCGCATCCTCTCACCCGTGCATCTTAGGCGTACTGCTCTGCCAAAACTGGAGTTCCAAACACCCAAAAGGCGAGTCCTAATGCTGCGACACCCCCCCTTGCAAATTTTAAAGTTTGGGGATTGAATTAGGGCTGGGGTTTAAAGGGGTTGCGGATTAGAGTGTTCTAGAGTCAGGAACCTCTGATTCATATACTTCAGTATTAAGCAAGTCCAAGGGCTACACAGCCCCGGAATCTTACACTCCAACGATATCGAAGCCACGCTGAGCTTTCAACCTGCGTGGGACAGCAGATCCACCTCGACACATCAGAGTAGAGCTTGCTGAATCACGAACATCTTAAGTGCTTTTGTTTTTCGGGGACTAAGGGACTAAGGGGATTTTGCCGATAAGGTACTTGGAGAACTCTTCTAAGAATTGAAAGTCATGTCCCGGCAGGCGACCTACATTCTTTCAGCTGGGGCCC